AACTACCAGAAGCTAATGTATTTCCATCAGGAGAGAAACAGACTGACCAAACTTTATCACTATGACCATTTAATTTGACTATTTGTTTCTTAGTTTTAATATTCCATATAAGGATTGAGTTATCTCTACTACCAGAAGCTAATATATTTCCATCAGGAGAGAAACAGACTGATATAACAGAATCACTATGACCATCTAATTTGGCTTTTTATTATCCTGTTTTGACATCCCATAGACAGATACAGTTATCTTTACTACCAGTAGCTAATGTGTTTCCATCAGGACAAAAACAAATTGATAAGACACCAGATGAATGACCATCTAATTTGGCTATTTTTTTCTTTGTTTGAATATTCCATATAAGGATAGAGTTATCTCTACTACCAGAAGCTAATATATTTCCATCAGGAGAGAAACAAACTGATATAACAGAATTACTATGACCATCTAATTTGGCTTTTTAATATCCTGTTTTGACATCCCATAGACGGATAGAGTTATCTTTACTACCAGAAGCTAAAGTATTTCCATCAGGAGAGAAACAGACTGATTAGACAGTATTACTCTGACCATCCAGTTTATTCAATTCATGGACTTTAATGTTCTTCCATCTACAATTAAATAACTATGCTCCATTCAGATTAATTCCACTTATATTGACATTATTAAATTTAGATCCATTAAAATTACACCTAACAAAATTAGCTCCTACTAAAGAAGTATTTTTAATCTTTATATTTTCCAAATTTTTGTTCCCAAAGTCCACCTTCATCTAAACTAATAAATGTAATGAATTAGACCCACCTTGAATAAACTTGTCGTCTATGGATGTGAGGTGAACTAATAATTACAGAAATTCAATGATCCTTATATTATCCTTGATGCTATTGATTAGACTTAATGTAGATTCACCATTTTTTTCGGAAGAAAAGTCTTTATAATTGAAGTCATGGTCTTATATTTTTTTTAAGACATCTGTAATTAATTTCATATCTTTTCTTAAAACAGACAATTTCTATTCTTTGAAATTTTGAGTGATATTTTCTCCTTTTTGTAAGATATATGATTCTAATTATTTCTAATTCTCTATATCTGATAGAAATCCAATGCAATCTTCAACTTTTTCCTTTTTTAATTTTTCGAATATGAAACCAAACATTTGCTCATGTACACCTTTTATTTGACCAAAGATGTCAGCTAGAGCTTCCATCTCTAAAACAGAGCCTTGCATTTACTTTTTTATTTTTAATATTGAATTTATATTACTTTAGTTTTAAGTTATATACTGCAAAATCGGTAAAAGTATCTTGTGCACTTCTGTAAAATAGATGTTAGGACTTTGTGTAGAGTTGGAATAGATATTAATAGATGTAAATGATGCTATTGAGAATTCATTTCAATACATGCATTGCTTGATTTTTTAATAATATAGAATAATTTTATTTTATATAAATATTTTAATTTTTGCAAAAATTGATTTCTTTGATCTATTCATTAATTTTTCTTGTCTAATTTTTCAGCTAAATTTTTAAGTTTAATCCTACTTTTAAACAGTAATAAATTAAGTAAATCTATTATATAATATCCTATATGATATATAAAAGAATTTGTGTTAAATTTGTTTTCTTTAAGTTATTATTTCATTCTTTATTTTTAAATCTTAATCTACTGTTCTCTGTTTAAATAATTAATTAAAAGTAGCATCATTTAAATTTAAATCTCTAACATAAAAAACTTATAACATTTTTTATGAGAATCCCTACGCTAAATTGATCTTATATTTGAATAATATAAAAATTAATGAATTGTATAAATGACTTAAATAAAAAAAAGCTTTGATAAATAAGGACTTACCTAGCAGTGAAGATTAAGAGTGAAACTAATAAAGACAGAATAAAAAAAAATATTCGATAATAATTGGAATTAAAATTGTAATATTGTTAATGAAAAATCACTTCTACTTAAAGTCTTCTTAAAAGCAACTACCTTTTTATTTAAACAATGTCTTTAAATCTATACCTCTCAAAATTAGTGCTCCTTATGCTTAAAATATGGCCTATTAGGAAATGAGGAGTGTAGTGATGTAATTGGATGCTAAAATATCAAAAAAAAATAATATTACCTTCTTATATTGCACTATTTTATTAGAGCGGAATTTTTATCTATGCAAGAATATCTTTGTAGTTTTTATCAGAGGATTTAATTTCATA